GCAGGAATCCAAAGGGAGGGGAGACAGCGGGGCTGCCCCCGCTCCAGCCCACGTGTATACGCCCTCACACACGTATGGACACGTGCACATGTGTGCACTCCCAACAGTCGGCACCACACCCGGAACCCACCAGACATGTGCACGGAAGTGTCTGCACACACACGGGCCCACCAGTACACCCGCTGCAGACACCTACCTGCTTGGGCCTGCTCACATGCGTATGGATACACATGGGCCATGGGCATGCACAGACCTGCACTTGCAAACACACCCAGAACCCAGGCATCCAGGGCGCACACATGCAGACAAGTCCAATTCACATTACACACACACACGAGCAGAAGCCTGGTGTCCAAATCATACACGCACGCACGTGCACACCCCCAACCCCACCCCCACACATCCTGGTGTCCAGGATGCACACACGTATGCACAAAACTCAGGTGCCCAGGACGTGCACATGGTCACACACAAATCCCCGGCATCACAGCAAACACATGTACACAGAATGCAACCATTCAGGACACACATACACATGCGCACATGCATGTACACACATGTGCACACGCAAGTCCAGGACATGTGTGAACACATGTGAACAGGTGTCAAGGACACAGGTGTGCACACATACAAAACCCGGGCATCCAGGGTGCACACACAACACGCACCCACCTTGTCTTCAGAGGGCCCAGCCCAGCCCTAGGGCCCACTCTGGCGCCACCCTCCACCCCCATCCAGCCCTACCTCCCTGGGAGTCGGGCCCAGTATCCGTCAGTCTGTCTGCACTTCACCCTCTCCATTGCCTGGCACCTCTTCTTGTCCCCATGCCTGGGGCCTTGCAGGGGAGCTTCCCACCCTGCCCTCCCCCTGAGGCCTGGTGCACTGCCCTGGCACTGGCAGACCAGCTCTGCAGGTCCCTGTGCCCTGGGTCCCCCAGGCACAGTCCTGGGCCCCTACTGTGGCACCTGCCCCCTCCTGGCCCAGGTGCAGCCATTGAGTCTGCGGAGGTGCAAGGGCCTGGGGAGATCAGTTGGGGGGCAGCAGCCATGCCAGGACCCCTTTCCCATCTGGCCCCAATGCCCTTGTCCCTGCTCTAACAGGGGAGCCTGGAGGCACCCAGGGGCTGGGAGCCCAGGTGCCTGGGTTACATCCTGTTTCCTGCCCCCACCCCATCTCTCTGATCTGCCCCAGGGGGCTCCTCTGTGACCCCTGCTCCCCAGCAATGCCTCTGTTTGGGGGGGGAGGGGGGGTTCACAACACAATCCCCGCCCCTCCACAGTCCCTGTTGCAAGACCCAGAGCCGGGAAGTGCCCGGAAGAAATTGCCCCACAGGAGCAGGGTTGAGGGAAGGGGGATGTGCCCCCGCCTCCGCAACCCAGCACAGCGCCCCTTTCTGGACCTCAGGGGCTGTGCACGGGGTGGCGAC